GGAAAGAGTTATATTCCAACATTCCCTCCCGCCCTATAATGTCTCCAGTTCCTATACGTATCCACTCACCACATGGAACGACTTCTGATTGTTATGAATCATGAACAAATGAAGATGAAATTTCTATTCTAATCTGGTCTGCAGCTATGGCAAACCAAGAGGTTTAGAATATGTCTATTAAGAATAAACAGGAAACATTTGTTATTCCCTTGTCCAAAATATTGCCTATTTGCCCCAAACTTCTAAGGGAAGCTCTATCCTAGTGTGACATCCGACGTGAAATGTTAGGTGAATTGACTGGGTTTTGGTGAAACTCAAGGACAACAGGGCTGCTACCAGACTAGTGCTGAAAGAACTTGTCAGGTGCCAAAAACAGTATAAGCACATCAAGAGAACAAGTTAAGCCCATGCCAAACTCTACACCAGTTCAACCATAGTAATCCTTGTACCAAACCTAATTGTTCACTTGGCGCCAGTGAATTATGTTGCGCTGTAATGGTACAGACTTGGAGGGGATGTGGGGGGCAAGGGGAAAAAACTCCCCTTGGGGATGAGGCAGGATGGTGGGGGCAGTAAGAGGTCTCTTTTACCTGGATAAGTGGCAGTTAGGAGACATGGTTGGGGCTAGGGGGAGGGTTTGCTTGTGTGGGGGTTTGAAAGGAAGCAATTAGTTGATGGAGATAAAGTTGGAGGTTCTTGGGTTTGGGGGTGTTATTTTGGCAATCCTATCTGTGGGCTGTTTCTTCATTTTAAGCCTTTTGGATTAGGCAGGACAGAAATATAATAAGTAAGGATTTATTTCAACTGTACCGTTTAAGAAAGCTTAATTGAATTCTACTTTGACTGTATTTTTGAAAACAGGCATTTTACAGATAGTCATTTAAATAAAAGTATTCCTTTTTCAATCCTTTAAAAACATTCTGTTCTAGTCCCACTAGTACGGCCAGAAGAGATGATGCAACAAACTGCTGAAGAAAAAGCGGTACCTTCCAAAGCAACATTTCAAACTAGTGAGATGTGTAGAACAAAGACTTCATTATATTCATATATAAATCATACATACTATTAGGCAGACAAGGTTCCTTGGGTGAATTTGATATCTTTTATTAGACCAACCCAAATGGTTGGAGAATAGTTATTAAGCAAGCTTTCGGGTTCAAAAACCCTTTGTCAGGCTCAGGAAGCTGTAGCAGTTGGTGTGTGCTCTTCCTGGATGGAATGAAAAGTAAACAAGCCAGGGGCTGGGCTGGGCTGGGCTGGGCTGGGGAGTCAGTTGCCAGGCAGACTGTAATGTATCAAACATCCAATGTCTATGTTTAGTCCCTGATCTCTAGTATCCAGCAGGTTGATGAAATGGAGCTCATAGGCTCGTCTCTGGGCTGTGTTGTGTAAATTTCCCTCGAGGATCAGGACTGGGAGATTGGAGAGAGAGTGGCCCTCCTGTGAGAAATGTGCCCCCCACCGGTAATTGGGTATTTCTGTCTTTGATGGATTTCCGGTGTACGTTCATTCTGGTGCGCAGTTGTTGTCTGGTCTCTCCTACATCTTCATCATTTGGAGTGAGAACCTGGAATCTCTACTTGAGTTCCACCAGAAATTCAACAGTCACCATCCCTCCATCCAACTTTCTTTAGAATACTCCAACACCAACATCCCCTTTTTAGACACAAGGATCAGTATCCAGAAGGGTAAAATACAGACCACAGTATACAAGAAAC